AGTTCTGTGAGCTTATAGCCTGTTTATTGGTATTTGATTGTTCTTCTCTGGTTAAGTTATAAGCCTTTGGACTAAAGAGTGCCATATGGTGTAACATTTTCATATAAATTAATGATTTTATAACATGATTTTATCGAGTGATAAACCTAGTGTTTCTTACACAACATGTATTTATATGGCTTCCTTTTGTATAACCATATTCAAGTTTCTGTTTTCCCTGTGATATACAAGGGTCTGTATTGTAATGGAGTTGTGCAATTACTGAACACTGGCTTATCGTACCAAAATGTAACATTGAAAAAAATGTAAAAGAGTCACATCAATGTCAATTAACGTTATCTCCATGAATACTGTTTTATACATAATATTTTGGGAAAATAGTGCACCGTTTAATGTTAAATAGTTGCATTTGTTAACTATGACAAGTGAATGTTGTACTGAAAAGAAGTAAAATTTATTTTGATCATGTTATAGATACGAGCAGAATTAAAAGTACCTAGATCCAGTTTTCCTTTTGTAAATTTAGTAGTTTGTCATTAAGTGACAAAATTATGTTTGTGAGAAATGCCACAAGTTATAAAAATACAACATTATAATGAAAGTGTACTGTTTATCCCAAAAACTGACTCAAAATATATTCAGCTACTTCTGAAGACAATTCTATACAATACAATAAAACAAAGTGATGTTAACCTATCCTAGGTTAATAGGTTCCAGTCTGGGTGTCCTGGTCAGTGTCCAAGAGTGAATTCTGTCCCTCTGATACTCATAGTACAGAGAATACCCAAATTTTAAGGTCATATTCCAGAACTCTACTCAATGCTCAAGTCAGGACTTGAGCATTGAGTAGAGCACTAGAAATCGTATGCATGCCATTAGGGCCATATTTCCAGTGCTTGCAACCATACTCAAGTCCTCACTTGAGCATTGAGTAGAGTTCTGGAATACGACTCAGAGACCAGGCAATTGGTATGGTTGTCTGGCGCATGTTACCATTATTACTGCTGGGGTTATTTAACAGACATACAGGATGAAAATATGTGTAAGCTAATGAACATTGCCAGCATTCTTATATATTAAGATAATGTAATTATTTAGTGGCAATAGACAGAGTCAACAATCAAAATATTGATCACTTCATCTGCAATTTTAATTCACAATAATAACTGGCCTAACTTGTTATTTAACTGCCCAGTGTATAGCATTTAACGATTTCGTAAATAAGGTGATCCTTGAGAGCTGTTACTCAACAACACATCTATCCATGTCATCAGTTATGTGTAGAGGAATGCCTCGCAGGCCCGAGGGGCGAACGGGAGGGGGGTACACAAAAAACCGCACCTGCATGTTAACCTATTTCAAAATAACGACTTTTTATCAGATTCCTCGTGTTTCAGGTACAAATTGTGAACAATGCCGCGTCCTTATTGTAAATATGCAACCGATAATGTTAATACAGCTCGCAATAAAATGCTACGTCAGTGTTTGCCGAACTCCGCGATCAACAAATTGCAATCATCTGATGATACAAACAATCATTGTCACATTACTGTAACCCACAACAAACGTTATTTCAACTACATTTCAGCCCGAAGATCGTTGCGAGAACCTTCTCAACACTACTTCTCTAGCGTAACAATAAAAAACGAACGAGCAGAAGGTTAAAACCATCGGCGAAGTACAAATAACCAAAACACTTCACTCCAAGCCATTTATCACAGATAAACACTAATTAAATAACACACTAATTACAACAACATTGCATTTACCGTCGGAGTTTGAACGATAAAACATCTTGCGACTTATTGCGATTCCCAAATCCGATTTCGCCCTTGACTAGCGGGCGCTAAAAGTCACCACTTACCGGCCATGACAAAGCCCAGCACAAAAACTTAAGAAGTTCGATAGTTTTATAACACAATCACCACAATGTTTTGCTAAAACATCACATAAATTTGCCGATGAAAATAGATTAGAAACATTTCAGTATTACATCGGTAAAAAGCAATGGCGCTGAGAAAATATACAATAAATTACTGCAGAACTTGGTGTTGCCATACTGAGCATATAAAATTTTACTAAACGCCAACTGACTAAACTTAAAATTACCGTACAGTCACGTGCCATAAATTTGTTACAAGCAACGAAACTTACATTCGAATTTTACAGAAAATGTCCCATTAAATACAAAATATTACGCAAGAATAATTTTTATAAATAATGTGAACACATATGTCGATACCTCCCATATAAGTTGTTGTAAGTCAAAATACCATTTGTTGCCTTTCAACCATAAATCCTTTTTTAAAATATATTACAGGTTCCATTTCCGAAAGTATATATAACACTAATTGATTTCTTTACCTTTAAATAATGGAACCTATAATATACATAAAAAGTCATTAAAAATTAATTAGCAAAAAAAATTTATTTCATTAACCAGTTATGTGTGTTATCGATATATGTACACCTACATAAAGATAAGGTAGGCAATGGCATAATAACACCAATCACACAATAGGTTTTATCACATAAAAGGTATAAAAATTGGCAAGGTATACATTTGCCGGCCTCTAGTCGAGTAGTTTGCACAATGGTTTTCATGGTGTCACCATCTCTGTAATCCCGGGTTCGATCCCTGGCCGGGTCAGTGTAGAAAACTAACTTTTCTACTCTGTGTTGGGTCTGGTGTTTGTGGTACCGTCGTTGTTTTCGATTTCCATAACACAAGTTCTTTAGCTACTTTGGGATTAGAGCAACGTATGTGATGTTGCCTAATATTTATATTATATTTAAAAAATATTCATACTAAGTACATGAAACAAATTATGTATATACTTATATGGAAATTTTATAATTCATAAATAAGCATAAAAAATTTGGTCTAATTTCGTTCATAGAATTTTTCAACCTTTCCATTTTGCAGATGTGGCCTTTTTATACCGAGGGTAGAGTACATAACATAAACTATAAAAAAAATTTAAAATAGTACTTTACGTCATTTACAGTCATCGTCATTTACAGTTCTTATAACTTAAGGCACGATTTTATTAATCTAAGCTAAATCATTTCCAATTTTGTGACAATTAATACAAAATAGAATTTCATATTTATTTATGTTGTTAAATAAAATAACGGCTAACGACACAAATCTCCGCAACTAAAATTTTGTACTACGGTAGGCGAAATAAATAAAAATGGCAACATTTACAGTTCAAAAATGACATTTACTTGACGTTGTTGTCAATGAAAAGCGCGCACTTCGTTTTCGACATTACTGCCACCTGTTAGCGGCTTTTATAACTTTACTGTTTTACCGACGTAAATATTACCTGTCTTCTGTCTTACTCATTTCAATGCAATAAATGTATAACCAATGAACAAGTATTATTACATCGTTGTGTATAACAGTCTGGGAGTAATTATTAGAGGATTAAAAAATGAGTAATTACTCTATATACCACCAAAAAAATTGTTTTGATCAAAGTATAGTATAAAACAACTTTAATACTCGTTCCATGCATTTTTTTTAGTCACAAGATAATAGACGAGCGTTTCCGGTTTGACACAAGTTTGAAATTGAATTCTCTGTCATTTCGTTGCAAGGATTTTCGATCAGAAAAAATATTTTAATTTCTTAAAACTTTATTTCTAGGGTTTGCTGAAACAATAAGCGGCTAAAATGGCTGATGATGACGATTTCGATGTTGATGAGAAAATTAACGAAAGAATGTTCAATTCTGTAAGTATAAAATTTTGTACGAGATCAAGGTTACTTATTCCTGCTAACACTAGCAAGCTACTAATGGCACTCCAGGCCTGTACCTACCTGCTCAGATAGTGATTGGTCACCCTGCGACAAGCCCAGAGAATTTTCTTTACATCGCATTAATTACCGGATATGCAGGTTATCAACCAACTTACTATAATTTTGGTAAACAGTAAAATGTATTTGAGCATATTTCATCTGCGTGCGAACGATATTATAAGGTATGTACTTACTGTTTTTAAGTCCGTGATCGAAAATTATGCTCAATTTCTGCAAACTGTTCTGCCTAGCTTCTGCAAACAGCCTCCTCTTGTTTTTGGGCGAAGATTGTGTGGCCAACGGTGACACTACCATGGTTGTGGTCGCCATTTTCACTTCACCATGTCAGGTAGATCTGCGTAAGTAGAAAACTGAAATTATCTCGTGGTCATGAACATAGATA